GTCTCGTCCACCGCTAATGATACCATTCCACTCACCTGACACGATGTGAATACTCAGACTTGGTGAGACAGGATTAAGGTAGAAAACTGTATAAGTTACGCCACTCGATAATAGTCCTGAAGAAGCAGAAAACGCGCTGAAATCCATCCAGTATGTGTGAAATCTACACTCAATCTTTTGCATACGACTAAAGCTGTACCATTTTGGATCTTCTTTAGGCCATGAGCCTTTCCACTTTTCTGGCGTTCCGATACCCCACCTATTGCGCAACTGAATTAAACGAGTGTTTGTGATCTGGTGCGTAAGTTCAACCACTTTCATGAGACCACAAGCATCGGTCTTGCGAAGCCCCTGGGCAATTTTTGCTGTCATATCTTCATTGCTACAACCTACAAGAGAACTCGCTCGTAATGCACTGATCATATTGACACTTTTCGTGAAGCTTGTATCGACTAGGAACGCCGCTGTAAAGATTCTGCAAGATGTGCACTACTTAACCACCAACGATTTCCTCGTATCTACCGTGAAGTATCGCATAAGCCTTTTCGATCACCAACGACCAGATTTCAAACTTGTTGCTGCTACTTGTGAGAAATCCAAAAGGGCTTGCCGTCCTGACTACAAGGTAAGAAGTAATCAACAACTAAAACGCGGCTGCGATTGTTGCGCCGAAATCACACAGCGTACACCTTCTTCGTTGTACTGTTGTTCCTTCTCTACCTGTTCTGGATGTATCATGTCGTCGCTTAAATTTGTGACAAAGCAAGCTGTGATGTCAATAGAATATACAATACACCAAACACGTTCCACACGCATGTCACCGGGACTTATCTTAACGCCCGAAATGCGGCTGGCAGCTTTAGACTCGCGCGAGCGATCAAAGAGACAAGTGCTTTGAGCATGAAAACACACAGGTACTAATAGCGAGACACGCGAGACACGCGACACGAAAGCAGACTCTGTACCGTCGACACGATAGCCAGAACCTTCTCCCACACTGAAATATGCAAGTGGTTTGTAATGATCAAGGAAACTCTTTTCCCACATGAGCTCAAACCGCTGTAGTCCGTCCTGCACATACTCGCTCATATTTTTCGTAAGTATCAGCATGTGATCGCGCTTACGCTTTGTGGCGCCCGTGGTCACAGCTTTTTTATCAGTTCGTAAAATTCTACGTTAATTTGTCGAAGATATTGCCGATATTCTCTGCTTCCACCGAACTTTTAATCGACATACTACACACAAATTTCTTCTCGTCGTCTAACATCGTAATCTCCACGTAAGCCGTTTCGCTGAAAATCCGTCACGTGCTTCCACTTTCGAACATACTCTTGAAGATGCGGATACTTTGGATTAATTGTATCTCGAAAAATTGATGACGCGTCAGGCGAAAATGGGGAATTCGTAAACTTTTTCCCCGCCTGACGGTTTTTGCGCAAAATATGTAGCCACTCGTCATTTGGCAACGTGCGCTGATTGTGATGCCGCTCTTCAACTGGATCGGCGCGTTCGTTCTGCACAACAGTAATCGTGTCGTTTACCTCGGTTACATTGTAGCCTTTAATGCGCTCTTGTGGACTGACACGGTTGCGTTCTGCGGTATTAGAAATTTTAGCATTGTGCTTAAAAAGCCCATGTTGCGAGCGGGCACAACCTGTCGAATGGACACTCCTGACACGTTTCCATCTGGGATCTTACAATAATTGACGAATTCGCGAGCAATTTACTGATATTGCTACTTGATGTAGACGCGGTCTCCAGTCTCACTGAAGCCGGCGGCTCAACGAGAGTTAATGGCGTCTGTGGTGCGGCGCAAGGGTCAAACACAGAGGAGGAAGCAGGCGAAGTGTAGAGATTGTTTACCAGCGATGAAGCCGAAATTGCAGACCGAACAAGCATTGTAGTGTATGCCGGGTTGTAGCCTACGCTAGCTGTGGTCCTCAAGCTCGAGTTTGCTCCATAAGCTGCCGATTGCATTAGGACAGCCGGAGTGGCATTGGTCGTGGACGTTGAGCCAAATAGGTCTATTTCGTTGATTTTGGCTGCAATGGTTGGGATCGCTGCCGTAGGGCGATGGGCACCGCATTCGCAGAAAAGGGCGGTCGAGTCTCCAAACGGCATTTTTCACTACATGCAATTGTTAGTAGACAGTGCGCTATAACTCGAAGCAAAGCTCTCACTGGAGCTGCATCAAGTTACATGCAGTAAGCGCAACTATGCTGTAGCTGGGTGCAGAGAAGTTTGAGGTAGCAATGGGAAAGTATTCGACGAAGGCGCAACGGAGGACGATGAGGTCTCGAGCTGGACGACGCAAGAAGGTCGAAGGAGGATGCTGGCATGGACGTAGGAACAACTGAGGACGTCTTCACGAGGTTCGCCGCACTCAGCACAAAAGCGCGCACTGGCGATCTCATCGGGCTCCCAGCAGTGACCGCACTCACCACAAAACATGTCTACGTTTAGGTCAGATGTGCAAATGGCGAACAGTGACTGATCAACAACCAGATAGCTTGCGTACCTTGGTACTATTTGATTATTGAAAGATAAGCTGAGTATGCTATTCGAATATAAGAAACTCGTCTGGACGCATTGGTCGATACGTTAAAGCGTTATTTTCACAGTATCATATTTTAAAGATCAACCCCTTGCTGTCGTTGCTTGCTCATTTGCTGAATTGTGTGATAGATTTGCACAAATTCGAGACCTTGCCGACATTTTAAACTTTGTTGCTGAAGTGAATTATTGCACATCAGGATATAGAATTTGCGTAAAGTGGGCGACAGCACTGAACGTGAGCTACACTACAGTTGAACTTGAGGGTTGGATCTCACAAGATACTAATTTCATAAGTAAATTGACATTTGCCCCAAAAAAATGATAGACTAAACATGATTCAAACAGGTATGACGATCAAGCGTATGTGTTTGTGTTGTCTAATGAGGCAAACTTTTGTATCCACCGAATCAGAATGTGTGCCAAAAACTGCGGCAGGCGGCGATTGCGTAGACAATACCATAAACGTAATCCAATGAGCACAGCAAGCGACGCGCGAATTGTTCGGCTTCGAACCCATATCTGCAAGAACTTCAGCGCACGGGCTTCCAGTAAGAGAAGAACTGAATTATCATTGCGAAAAGCTAGCTTTTGTTGATTTGACGTCAATCGCTGTAGCTCACTTTTGTGTTGGACAACGTCGTCTTCAAGGTTCTTGACTAGTGATACTAAATTCTTGCGGATCTGCCCCATCTGCTCAAGCTCTTCCTTCAAGCTGGAGCGATAATCACGTGTCAAATGCAACAAGTGATCCTCTAGCTCAACACGTTTCTTGGTTTCGACCTCAACACGCTCCTGTAATTCCATCAGTTCGTCGTAGATACGAGGCAAACGGTCAAACATGCTGTTAGATCTCTTCACTTGGCCATGAGTGGTAGATCCAGCTTCAGACGTTTGTTGATCAGCAATGACGTGGTCTGTCTCGAATGAGTTGTTATTTTCGTTAGTATAATTGCGCTCATTTGCAATGCGACGCCAATCATCAACCAAATTATCAAGCACCGTCGTATAACGCTTCATGGCTTCCTGCCGTGTCATATTGCCGAGTTCGCGCCATTTTTCCCTACTCGTCATAACAATCGTGGTCATCATCAAGAATGTCGAGACTCAAATGACGATCTTACCATTTCGCAAGCTCATGTTTGTTGAGTCCGACAGGCGGCGTTAAAGCTAATAGAGGTCCTGCGGTGGCTTGCTGGTAGTAAGCGTACATATCTTTCTTGGGTGACGAGTTTTCTTGCGACAAAATGCGGTGTGGGCCCTGATAACTCTTTACAAATAGCACGGCACCCGCAAAGTCTGCCTCCAGATGTGAGCAAGACTCGCAAGAATGTGAATGCGACGTGGACGACGTCAATGAATGAAGTTCCAGGGTATCCGTGTCATCAACATCTTCAGCATCAGAGACAAAGGGCCTATTTGAAAGCAACCGCGCACGATATGCTCGCGCAGTCGACTGTTGCGGTACAATGGATGGAAGTGCAAGCGACGGCATAGTTTGACTTTGCCTTTGTAATTGACTTTCTACTCCATTCGACAGGTTATGTACGATATTAAGTCTTTATCTTTCACGATGAGTGTCAATCTCTTTAATGGTCGCAGCCGTGGTGCTTCTAAAAAACACTCTTCTTTTGCTTGGAGATCGAGAAGACCTTCCTCCTTACATGACGCTAACGCAACAGTGAGAAACGAGCAGTGGCTATGACATATGTGATCTATTGGCTGCCATTCTTTATGGACAGCCACTCATGGTTTTAGCCTATTTGGCTCGCTTGCCTGTACTAAATCGTTTCCTGTGCAAATAACTGGCAAAGGAAAACAAAATTCTTAAAGCTCACAAGCTTGTTGTCTCTATTACAGATCTACCGCTATGTCATCCGTACGTAGAGCCCACCCAGAGCGGTGCAGAGCAAGGAGAAGCATCACAGTCTCTCTTGGAATCCAGCAAGAAAGGAGTCAAGAAGGAAAAGGCCACCACTGCATTTAAGTATTGAAGAATCTCCGACTATACGGTACGGTACACTTCGGGTGAGGTGACACCCGTGCAAGTGGTGAAGGCTCTGCTGGCGGCCGCTGAAACGAAACAGCAGAGCGAATATCCTCCTAACGTGTTTGTAGAAAAACACGATGACTGGATCATGGCCCAAGCCCAGGCGTCAGCAGAGTGCTATGCTCGTGGTGAGCCTCTTGGCGTCTTAGACGGTGTCCTTGTGGCTATCAAAGACGAAGTTCATATCAAAGATCACCGCATTGGCACGTCTTTTTTAGGATACGAAGAAGAGCCTGCAACAAAAGATGACACGCCAGTCGCTCGGCTTCGTTCGGCAGGAGCCATTATATTCTTGGTACGACTAATATGCATGATGTCGGTGTCACGGGTTACAACAAGCACTATGGCACGGTTCGTAATCATACAATCCAAAATGCTACTGTGGTGGGTCGTATAGTGGTTCTGCCGCAGCATTTGCATTTGCATCTGGACTGGTACCGGTACCGTTGGCGCTTGGTTTGGACGGTGGAGGCTCAATCCGAATTCCTTCCTCGGTTTGTGGTGTTGCTGGTATGAAACTCACATTTAAACGCATCCCTTTCGCTGCTGCCGACTGCCTTCCGTAGCCCACGTCGGTCCTATTGCATGTTCTGTGTGTGACGCTGCTATTGGACATGCGATCGTGAGTGAAAGTGATGAGTCTTTTCCTCTCGGGATGAGGCAACCATCTGTGGACTTGCATTCGTTTAAAGACACGTCCTTCTTGAAAGGTATTCGTATCGGATACCTTCGTGATTATACGAACCATTCGTCTCTTGAAATTGCTAAGGCAGTCACCAAGACACTACAAGCTTTGAATGCTCGCGAAACCCAGTTGATCAAGACACCTATCAGCTATACATGTCGCTTATGCCATTACGATTACGTCCGAATTTGCTCGAAATCTGGATAAGTGCTATGAGCGTTTGGGTGAAATGTCACCGGAAACACAAATCATCCTGGGCTATTGGTCGGAGCTTCACTGCTATTGATTTTCTTGCTGCACAATGTATAAAGGCTCTTGCGCTGCGTCAATTTCAGAAGAAGGTACTCAGCAAAGTATACCCTCGACCGGCATTTCTGCTCCCGAGACTCCACTTGAGGCGTTTAAGGCTGGAAAGCTAAGCGCGGCGCAGCTTGGCAACATTCTTCGATTTAGTTTATATGGTAATCTCATTGGTGTGCCAAGCGTGGCTGTGTCGATTGGGTACGACTCTCGCGGAATTCCGATGGCGATCCAATTTCAGACTGCCCACTGGCAGGAAAATCTGATGCTATGTCTCGCTCATGTTACCGAGAAATTGTATGCAGAGATACAAAGAGACCACAGATCTATTTTTTAACTCTTGACGACGCGGCCAATTATGCAAGCAACTAGTTGCTGAGCAATGGTCCTTCGCGAGGACAAAATATTACGTTAGTGTTTGTTTGATCTCCCACATGAATTGAACTTGTCATCAGTTCACAGTTTGAACCACATCTTGGATTGAGATGACGCCGTATATGACTTTTTTGGTTTTCATTGTATGGTGTCCGTGGCACATTTTGCACAAATTTGCAAAGCTGAGCTAGAGGTCATGCATGGTCGCTAACAAAAAGGAACCTTAATCCAGGGAGCGACCTTTTTAAAGGTAACTTATTTTACATAATTTGTACAATTATAATTAGGAATATCCTTGCTATGTATTTTCTTATTACACGGTTATACCTACTCGGCCGTGACTAAGATATTACATTGCTTCATTCCGCTGGGGTATTTTATTTGATTTTAATTCTTGATTTTTCTTGTACGAGTCTCCCGAAGTCCTCATTGGCTGTTGTCGGTAATATTTTGCATGCTGCCGACATTTCTAGCATGTCTGGTACTATTACGATTTTGTCCGCTGAGGGGCTCGAACCCGCGCCACACAGCGTA